CAGTGAGCAGAAATCAGGGACATAGGAACAGTGGAGTTTGGGGAACTGATGTGAGAAGAGGGCACAAAAGGAAAAAAATAAGGAAGAGTCCAGGTCACATCAAGAATCAGTCCACAGAAACTGAAAGAACAATGATATCATCTAGGCAGCAAATTTGGGATGTCAGAGCAGGAGTTCTTTGGCATTTCAGTGCAAGTTGTGCTCTAGCCAAGAAGCTTCTTGGGCATTTCCTATCAGGATAGGAACTGGATCCCGGGTGTGGCCCCAGAGTCCTCCCGTAAAAGCAGGTCATGGGTGTGTCTGCCTGGAAGGGGAATGGAGGTGCCTGGGAGGGTCCTGACACTTACAGAGAGACATTAAGGACGTGGGGCAACAGGGGCATACTCAGCCCTTTGCTAAGCATTGTCTGTTCCCTGACTCACAGCACTTAGTTGAAACATGCCATCTTTCAGGCAGTAAAACTACCAGGCTGGGGTAGAACCATTAAAGGGCCCTTACTGTGTCTGCTCCATTCCAGATGATCAACAAGCCTTGTATCTCTGTGGGTTTTATAGCTCTGTTCTCATGTTTCTCTGCCCATTTACCCAGAAGGCAGTGCAGAGGAGCAACTATAAAGAGAATAAAGATGCTTCACTTTAAAAGCTGCTAAAGTTTGCATCTGTATAAAATCTCAGTTCTCTTTCTTAGGTTTTCCATAGCAAAAAAGAAAAAGGTCTGTTCACAAAGGAATGTGCTAGAATAAGTAATGTAAATGAAGATTAATTCATGAGAAGAATATAACTTGTGGTCATGTAAATAGTTTTGCTGTATATTTAGATATGTAATAAATATTTACATGCATGCATAGCATATAGTATGAATACATATGCATATGTATAAATTTACATTGGTTAGGAATTTCTGAGAGTTAGATTTCCACTTATTAGATATTGGTACAAAATTACTTTGTTTAGTTTTATTTATATTATAAAATTAGATAAATTTACAGGAAAAGAACTAATTAACCTTAAAATCTCATTTATATTTTTTCACTCACTTCTAATCATGCATGTCAATGTATTTAATTTATAACTTAAATTACTCCATATATTTGCATATAGTGATATTCACTTAGTGTTTATTTTTAATAGCCTTATTGTATGGTGATGTAGCATTTTTATTTATTTATTTATGTATTTAATGTATTTTTATTTTGGTATCATTAATCTACAATTACAGAAAGAACATTATGTTTACTAGGTTCCCCCCTTCACCAAGTCCCCCCTACATACCCCTTCACAGTCACTGTCCATCTGCGTAGTAAGATGCTGTAAAATCACTACTTGTCTTCTCTGTGTTGCACAGCCCTCCCCGTCCCCCCCACGCACTATACATGCTAA